TCAAACTTTACCAGAAATGTTGACACTATATGTTGTCGACAATGGAGGTTATGAAGGAAATCCATCAAATGCAAACCCGGGAGGTTCAAACACTTTTTACACCGGTGTTGTGAGCACACTCTTCCCCGACGTTAGCGTTGCAAACYCATATGGTCCAAGCACACTCTTCCCTACCGGTTGTGCTCCTGGTCTAAATCAGAGCACTTTCTTCCCTAGCAGTAGAAGTGGTGAAAATCGAAGCACCTTTTTCCCCTACGATGGTGCTGGAAATTCATATCTTGAACAAAAAGTTACCGTTGAACCTGACAGTTATTTTGTTCAAGACTTGAACATGCCTCCGATGCAGTCTCCCAACCCGTACCCGATCCGGTCTCTCGAACTGTCAAAACGGTTGTAGGAGGTAGATATGGCAAAAGATGTTTCTGTTGCTGCCGAAATTTTGAACATACCCGAAGACGACGATAATTCCGATTCTGAAGATATCAAGTCGGTAAGGAATAGTTTTTTGGGTATGCCCGACCCACCACCTTGTCCGGACCCAATTATCAAAAGTATGTCGAAGAATGGCTACGATATTGGTCGGGATGGTCGGTGGAATGGTCAAAGCTCGGTTTTTCGCTCGGTTTTTCCAGAGAAAACAGGCGGTGGGATGGTCGGTGGTGGGGATGAATGGTCCCCCACATGCAATTTATATAAAACGTTAAGTAATAAAACAAAATCATCGTCAAATCAACGTCAAATCCGCGTTAAATCGACGTCATAGAGTTGTCATATCATCAAAAACCGCGAAATCAGATATAATGTCTGATTTTTTCTCCAAAAATCAACTAAATATTTTTTTTTCGTAACCACAATTATCATCCGGTTATTTTATAACGAAAAACCGTGAAATTTAAAATTAAATACGTAAAAAGACACACTTAATGTATTTTTCAATTTTTATTAAAAACACCCCTTAATTGTTAAATAAAAAACACAAAAAGTTAAAATTTGGTTTAAAAAACACAGAGAAAAATAATTTTTGCGTCTCCATAAYTATAAAGATTTATTTTTAAACTTTTTCCCATGAAATTTGGTTCTAAAAAAGTTAAAAAATACAACTTCAATGTTATTAATAAAAAAAAAAACACGGGTGAACAGTACGGATCGCCCCCCGTACAGTACGGATCGCCCCGGGGGCGAGGTCAAACACGGTCAACGAGGTGAACAATAATCTCGACTTTTGATGAATTTTTTTAATGGGGGCGATCCGGGTGGTTATTTTGGCAAAACCTCTAAAATGTGGTTATTTTGTGGCAAAAGGTTGTGTAAACCGGTTATTTTTATAAATAACTTTTTTTTTAATGCAAAATTTAGACAACTTTCTGTTAAATTGATAAATGACTTAATGTTTCTAATCGTTTATTTTATAGAATTCCATTTTTACTCATAAATATGTACGGTAATTATTTAGAAATTTATTTTTAAACAACAATTTTTTTCAATATTACCCATTTATTAATTATTTATCCATTATTACAAAAGTTTATAAAACATAAATTATAATGTGATAAATAAGATGGTAGTTAGATATATAAATTAATCATTAAAATATCATTGTTGACTTATTTGATTTAAAAATTATTTTTATTTTGACTTTGTATTAAATATTTTTAACGAATAAATTATTTATTAATAAATTAACAAAAAGGGCAAATTACTAAAATAAAGAATATATGTGAAAATATAATAATGTTTATATTACATTGCAAAATGATGATGCTTCCGATGAGGTTTTAGAGATATAAGAATTAAAAAAAATTATAATAATAAAAAATTATTTCTATACATATAATATAATTTAAATATGACAATGGATTACCGAGATTTGAACTCGGAATTAGTTGGATGAAGTAGATAATTTCTTTGTTAAATGGGTAAAAGAGTCAATTTACCTCTTGTTCAGTAGATGGACGATAAAATACTTTAACTTTTTATTTGATAGGAAAAAACAATCATATAAAGCTAATGGACCGTTTATTACCAAGTAACATTAACTCATCGGATGAATATAGTAAGAACCAATGATCTTACCCGGTAAGAGCGAGATAAGGACCAAGAACCTTACGCGGTAAGTGAGGGCGGCGACTCTTATCACGGTAAGCGTTTATCGGGTAAATTGTTGCATACGATGTTGTTTTGATGGACTAAAATCTTACACAATAAGTACATAATAGTGTTAAAATTTACCGGTAAGCACTTTCCGGGTAAGTATTTGATAAACGGCCCATAACTTGAATAGTAGCCCCAAAAAGGACAGTACCATCCAATGGTTTTTATTCGGTATCTAATAGCAGAAGACAATAAATCATCTTCTTGCTTCTCTTGCATATTGTTTCAAAGAACATAGTGGTCAAAGGAAGCAATGTAGAACTCCCTAAATGTTGATCCCAAATCTTATTTTAATGTTAATAATAGAATTAGAATGAATTGTGGAAGCTCAAAATATCAAGAGTCAACAGATAATGAAATATATGAAGAACAATATAGCAGATTGAGATGTCATATGATTCATATATCACAGATCTTACAAGGAAGAGTTGGACACAGAAAAATGAGATAAAACATCAAAGATTGCACACAGTATTACTCACAAAAAACCTTCGAAAGCTTTATTAAAATTTTCCCTAAAAGCTTACAAATGAATCACCCCAAGACATTTATTTGTAGTGCCAAAATATGTTAGGAAAGTATGTACAATCAGTATTGGACTCATGTAAACTGAAATTAATGCTTTTGAAGGGGACCACTCATGTAGCGGCAATGACAAATCTAGAACCTTAGGTGACTAGGGCTCTAGAGGTATCAGAAAAAACCCAAAACTGAATAATTCACTTGAACCAAAAGAGCTTCGGGTTATTTGGTTTGCGAGTTAAATGGTTTGGTTAATCGAATAAGGTAAGTTTTGGTTTCTATCATCTTTTGACCATACCTGTTAACCAAATAAGGTAAGTTTTGGTTGCGATTATTTTCTTTTACCATATCGGTTAACCGAATAAAAAAGTATACTATTATTTTGTAGATAATTTCCTTCTAGATGAACTATATAAAATTAACTTTATGTGAATTGATTTGTCTTTAAGTTAAAAGAACAAGAAATTGAGATATACTTAACAAAACCATCAACCAATTGTAGCATGATTGTGCTATAAAC